ATACTCATGTTGGGGCGCCTGGGTGGCGCAGTCGGTTAAGCGTCCGACTTCAGCCAGGTCACGATCTCGCGGTCCGTGAGTTCGAGCCCCGCGTCAGGCTCTGGGCTGATGGCTCAGAGCCTGGAGCCTGTTTCCGATTCTGTGTCTCCCTCTCTCTCTGCCCCTCCCCCGTTCATGCTCTGTCTCTCTCTGTCCCAAAAATAAATAAATGTTGAAAAAAAAAAAAAGAAAAAGAAAAATACTCATGTAAAGATCTGTATACAGCGCTGAGCCATTTGGAGAAAAGGTACAGGCACATCTAACACACAAATAACGCACTGGCCCTGAGGAGCCATGTATGAACGTGGACAGATACTTCTTCAGCAGACACTCAGCACAATGACCACGGGTGTACCTCTGCATGCGAATCTCTTCATTCAGCAGTGGAGATTAACAAAACGTGATCGTTCCCCCCATATTGTGACACAACGCACTACAAGATGAACAAAATTGCTTTCGTGGCAGTGGTAGGTCTTCAAGCACTATATAGGAAGACTCCTGATGTCTTGCATAACACCAGATCCCTCCTGTTTCCTCACACATTCCTTCTCCACTGCAGCTGCACTGTTCACTTTCTGTCCTTCAACATGTGCGTGCCTGGAACCCAATGAATCGATGGTGACTGCAAGCTGTGTTTCTCCCCAGCTACTTATGATGGGGACTTTTGCATTTCTAGCTCATCTCATGGCGAATATTCGAACACTTGAAATTTAAGTGTGCAGTCTGTGCATGTACTAAGCATGTGGCTTTCTGCATATGTCTGCACATCATTTTTCAGGAAACTCTATTTCACACTACACCAGCTTGATGAGTAGCTGTTGTTCACACCCACTGAGAAATAACTCCATGTGAGAATAATACCTTTACAACTTTGAAATGTCCTCAGACAGACTTCTCATCTCCAGGCCATCAACCTGCTGTGAACTCTCATCTTGACTTTTCACACTTACAGGCAACAGTCATGCAACATACTGTCAAACAATATGAAGGTTTGAGGAAACGTGAAGGAGTGCAAAATTAAATCAGAGCCTCAACATCTTTTTAGTTCAGTGTGATTTTTATAATTAAAAGAAGTCCGCTACATATACAACTATATTCGAACCCAGGGTCAACTTAAAATTTCCACTCTGTCTTTGAAGCGTGTTTACATTTCTGATCCCCAACTATATTCTGTTTGTTGAAAGTTGGTGTATGAACTCAGCATCTGAAGTCCCTGTCCTCAAGATGCTTCCTACCTACATCTTCCTTGAAGTAAGTATTCCTGGTCAAAAATCTCAATCTTTACTTTAAGCCACAATTACTATGATACCAAGGAAACTGAAAACCAGTGTGTGTATGGTTCCAACGAACTGAATTTTCTCTTTGAGAACCATCCAGAAATAATTTTACCAATCCTGTTTGTTAAAAACCCAGCAAAATGTAGGCATTCAATAAATATGTTATAGGAAAATATAAATAAGCAACTCTTTCATTCCACAAATAATCACTGAGCCCCTGAGATGTACCAGACTGTGTTGTGTTGCATATTCAAAAGTGAATCTAATGTGAATCTGGACCTAAAAGAAATCTACTCATGCTCAGTAGAAGAGCTGACAGGTTGATTATACTTTCCCTAATTCAGCAGGAATATTTTTTAAGAAGGGCTAAAATATACACATCAAACCTCTCATTAATTTTTAGTTAACCAGAAAGTTCAGCCTAGTGAAAACCAGCTCACTCTTAGTGCTTAATTCTTTCAGGAATGCCCAACTTGCTCAACATCTGGAACTCAGTTCAATCCGACAGATGTATTGAGTGAATATCTAGACTCTGCACAGGCCAGGCCCTGGGGATGCAAGATGGGAAGAAAGAGGCTGGGAGGAAGAAGAATGAGTTAATGATAGTCCACCCCCAATCCTGGGATGGAAAAGTGAGCTAAGAAGTGTAAGAGGAACAATAGAAGAATATATGAGATATGGGAGCTGATCGTGGGGGTGACAGAAAGTGACAGGGCACAGGGGAGTGCATTGGGGAGGCTTCTTCCATATGGGAATGCAAACTTAGAAGGTCTGAATGGGCTGGGCCACTGGGAGACTGAGTTGATTAAGCTTTTGACTCTTGGTTTCGGCTCAGATCATGATCTCACAGTTTGTGAGTTTGAGCCCCACATCAGGATCTGTGCTGTCAGTGTGGAGCCTGCTTGAGATTCTCTCTCTCCCTCTCTCTCCCCCTCTCTTTGCCCCTCTGCTGCTCACTCTCTTTGTCTCTCTCTCCCAAAAATAAATAAATAAAATTTGTTTTAATTAAAAAAAGAAGAAGGTCTAATGGGTACTAACCCAAGACATCTTCTAGAAGTTGTTCTTAAAATTCCCAGTGTCAGTTTGTTTCCTTTTCATTTGTCCCTATCCTAAAAGGTCAGTAAAAGGAAAATATAATAAGCCAAATCTTCTGAGTAGCTTTATTCTCTTTAGTAAAAGTTGTCATAATTATACATCTTTAATCTCTGTATTTACAAGATGTTTTTGATGTAAATTATAGTTTGGATGGGAAACTAAAAGAATTGTGTGTGTATGTGTATACATAAAATACACATCCTTGACTAGATAGGAACATCCTTGACTAGATATTTGCTTATATTTGCTGTTAAACATTTAAATAATTATCGATGCCAAATATTAATAAGAATAGTTTCACCTCTAATTTAGAATTTGTACATAAAGTTTAAGAAATGGCATATGGAAACATATAGCCTTGGGACATATGTGGTCAACAAATGAATGGAATAAGCCTCATGGCACAATCACTATAAGACTTGCTTCTAGATAATGTTTCTTTCAAATTTCTCAACAGGAGTGACATTTTCTTCCCCAGCTTAGCTTGGGAAAATGTTTTAACGTACTTTATGATACATGAGTAGACACGTATCTCAGGAAAATGAAACTAGTTATCATCATTTATGAGTTTAAGAAAGCCATGTAAGGTAAAGAGAACCAAATTTCCCAATAAAAATTAAACCAGTGAAATTTCATAATAGTAAAAACTGAGACACTGTATGAAATGGTCATAATGTAGTCTACAAGTCTTACGAAACTCAGCATGTGAGCTGTTTTACCTGTGAAAGATTTCCAAATGAACTCTGCACACCAGGATGGAAAGTGAGCCAGGAACCATGATGCCATTTGCCTGTTGCCTCTCCACTAGTATTGCCAGCCTCAGCACAGCCAGAGAGACAAGAAATGGTAGGTGTCTAAGACATCCCTATTAACTGACTAATAAACTCTTTGACTAAGTTCACCAATAGTTATGTCCCCTAAAAAAAAGCAACAAAATGTGGGGCTCCTGGGTGGCTCAGTCAGTTAAATGTCCGACTCTTGATTTCAGCTCAGGTCATGATCTCATGGTTCATAGTATCGAACCCCACATCGGGCTCTGTGCTGATGGTGTGGAGCCTGCTTGGGATTCTCTCTCTCCCTGTCTCTCTGCCCCTCCCCCGCTCATGTGCACACACTTGCTCTCTCTCTCTCTCTCTTTCTCTCTCTCAAAAATAAATAAGTAAACTTAAAAAATAAAATAAAAATAAAACAACAAAATGAAAATACAAACTTTCCCATTAGAAATATAGAGATACCAGGTACTTCATGAAACAAGTGATTCTACTAAACAGATTCTCCTCTTGTACTTAGATCTATTGACCCCCAAAGGCATGAAGGAAATAATTATGAGACAATAATTCTCTTAAAATTCTCAATGCTCCTTATTAGTCCTTCTGTGGAGGAGTGAATTATCAATTTTTCTCAAAGGAGACATAGAAAAATTTCCAGTAAAAAATTTTTGAGAACTCAGAGTGGGTCAGGTAGAAGTAAAGGGCAGTATTGGCTGGTTTCAGTTTCTGAGTTATTTATCTACAATTGATGGTTGTGATCAAACCTGTCCATTAGAGCAGGATGTCAACATGATCCTCTTTTCTAATATTTAGCTTTTAACAAAGATTGATCACAAATTTTTCTTTAGACAATTTTGTAAAATAATCCAGAAATTTTTAGCTAATAGACACTCACTAAGAAACTTCTCTTGCTCAGCACTGTGTGGGGTGGTGGGATATACAGCAGTGAGTGGGTTGATTGGCACTCTGCTCTCAGCAAGCATCCGATGGGACTGCTAGGCACTCATGGCCACCACTAGATCTTTACTGTATTAGTATTTAGAAGAAATATCCTTGCTTGTAAACGAAGGGTTTGACTTACCTGTCACCTCTTTCCAGCTCTAAGTTCCTTTTATTCCTTTGACACTAGGAATGTGCACAGTGCTGGAGATATAAATGATTAGCTCATCAAATGATTAGCTTGCCTTCAGGGAGTTGAAGAACCAGGAAGACCAGAAAATATGTATCAATCCAAGAAAGTATCTGTTCTATTCCATAATTTGGAAAATGAGAAATTCCCTCTCTCTTTCCAATCTGTCATTCATCTCTGCTTACCCCTTCTTTTATTCTGATTGATTACAAAACCTGCACTTTGGTTATAGGGACATAAATTAATAGAATTACTGTGCTAAAGATTACTCCCAGTAAATGATTCTTGCATCTGCAGGGTTTTTCTCCCAATCTATTCCTATGAGTTATTTCAATGATTCTCAGATTTTTCTACAATTAATTTGCTCATAAAGGGACATAATTCCAGCTAATACTTAGCACCTCCTAAAGTATATCACTACTAGAGTTCAAAACAGTGCTAGATGGCCACCTAAGTTTTAGAGATGTCTAGTTTATCAGAACTGAGCTGAAGAAATAAGTTGACCCTGCCAAATGATGCTTTCAAATGATAGAGGCATAACTTTGCAACTTTTTCCTTTGGTATTGGTTGAGTCCCCTCCTCCGTCACTTGAAAATGACAATTACTAAGAGACTATAGATCCAAATGATAAACACCCAGCACTGGGGAAGTAGCAAATCTCAAGTAGGGACCAACCCAGAAACCTTAGGACCATATATACATATATTGTATTTTTTACCTCAAAGAGAAGCACTATTTGTCCCTCAGTCTATGATTTGCAGCCTTGAAGCCTGTTTCCAAGTACTGCATCAGAATGATGTATTCAGGAAGTGATACACAACCGCCAATGGGGGTGGCATCTGTCTCATAGTAGTGTATGCCTCTTCCAGGCCATATCATTTATCTGAAACAGCAGATATGGAGATATGGATTAGAAAACATGTACTATTCTTTGAATGATTAGACTGCCACTTGGAGATTAAAACAGCTATCTAAAGTATGGATCAACCAATAATCTGCGAAGTTTTGCAAATGGAACTCTCTAGTGATCCTCAAAAATATCTTTGCTGTAAAGCAAGATTCTTTTCTACAAATTCAATGAGTAACTTTTCCAACAATGATCTTCTGGAAAATACAAGGGGATTTGAATGTTCTAAAGAAATGTTATTGATCAAAAGGATAAAACTTCTCTGTTTTATAGAGTAAGAAGTATTTTATGCCTTCTGAGCTTATAAAGACCACAAATTTATGTGTCCACATGGATAGTGTATAAGTGTACCTGTTTTAATATCTGTGAGATCACACACCAACATTAAAGGATAGCAATATAAGAATATGCCAGCTCTGTGTCTGGCCTCGTTCCTTGTAATAACTCATGACTTTCATGTGCCATTACCCATTAGCAATTCCTTCTTCAGTTCATCCTATATATCTCATCTATATTGGAAACACAGTGATAATTTCATGTTCAAAAGAGGTAGGAGGCCTAACCATCATGCAAGGTTTCAAAACCATTTTTCAAAAAACAGGGATATGACACATATGAGGCACCCCAAAGAACAGTTTCTTTTGGTGAACACAATGTGTTCAAGATTTTTATAGCCCAAGTAACCAGAAAACAAAAAAATAAATAATTCCAAAGAAAAGACAGATTAAAAAAGTAAACTTACCATCCCTCACCATATTTATTCTAGTAGGGAACCAAAGCTCGACATAAGTTGTCATCATCCTCCATAAAACCCTGCCTTAGGAAAGTTAATTACAAGATCCCACTGAGTCTGACATGTAGTGGGATAATGAAAACACTTTGGTTCTGGAGAATAACAGTACAGTACACAGTGTTCACAAACAGAATGAATAATTGAAATCCAGAGCTTTTATGCTTCAATGAAAAAAAAACAATATTTCATGGCACATAAATTTATTCAGCTTATTTGCATTAAGGTTGAATGATCAAAGCACTGTCCACAGGAAAATAGTGATGGTACCTTGATTTAAGTGTGATAAGCATTCATAAATATTCTTAGGAAGCAAGATGTACCTACATTTAATCAGCACTTATTAAAATTTTATTCCCTATAGTTATTCAACAGGATCTGTGGTATAAAAACATAATTACAAAAATCAGATTTGAGCTCATTTGACAACAGAAGGGTTTTATGGTGACCTATCTCCAAATGTTCCTATTTGTAATTAAATGCAGCGATCAGCAGTAAGGATTTTGAAGCTGTTTTAGTAGTTCCGCTATTCTGCTTAACATGTGGCACCCGTAATAATTAAAATGATACTAACACATGCACAATTTTATGGCCCTTATGGTGCAACCCATTATGCCAAATAAGGGCCTCTGTTTTCACAGCATACTGCACATGGTCTCATTACACCCACTTTTCTTTTCCTGTCTTCACACTAACAACTGTTAAAGTGAATCAACACACGAAACGTACTATAACAGCTTAGTGTTTATGATATGTGTGCTGTTAGTCAGTGAACAGGAAAATCTAAACATTTACTGTTTATGTAAAGAATAGCGTTAGTGTTAGCGAATTGCTCGGGTCTGCTTACTTTATTATCTAGATCACAAACGTAATGATGGGTTTCAATGGCATCTATATTTTTGCTTTGTTTTGTTTTTCAATGCAGATGTCTATAAAAACCAGAACAATTTAGCATTTACATATCTTAGAATATTTCTTCTCAACCATAAGATAATTTAGGGATCACTTAAAAAAAGATAAATAAGTCAGTATGTCATTCCCTTAAAAAAAAAAAAAAGGAAAAAGAAGAAGAAGAAGAAGAGTGAAATATTCAAAGGTATTTGGAGATGATTTTCCCGACAACATTCTGAGGCTGGATCTGGTTTACCTAAGGTGTTAAAAAGCTATAAACCATTTTTATGTGGTTCCACACTAAAATTTACAAGAAACTGGGAATTTGAGGTCAGTGCCATTTTATCATGAATAATTTTGTAATTAAGAAGCTCCTCAAAGACCTCCTACACTCATTTTACAGTCATCAGTTCCGAATGGCGTTCAGTCTTTTTGTTCTGGGACACAGTCCAAAGTAGGTCCCATCGGCAGAACACCAACGGATTGGGCAAAATCTCATGTCTGCATTTTACACTGCCATTTTTCTGAACATTAGTCGAAACTTCAGATAAAGAATAACAACCTTTCTCCATTTTTTTCTTTTTAAGTCAAACTCAATTCTGTCCATTTAGGAATTTTGCCGTATTGGCGATAAACGCACGTAAGCTGAGCTGAGTAGGCCTTGAATGCTAACGGCTTAATAGCTCAATTGATTGCAAAGATACAAAAGAAAAATGCTCACAGATTGCAGCCTTCACATGGTTTGGCTGCGAGATCTCATCAACAGTGTGACGTCGACCAGTAGAGAACCATGTGGATGCTGTATGAGGACCATGCGCTCGTTACAGAACTGTGAAAATTTGTGGGACCGCAAAATGAAAATTATCAGCCAGGAAAAAAAAAAAAAAACAGCAAGATGAGAAGTGGTGGGGGAAAGCAGCTTGAGAAAGACCTAACACATTCTTCTATACAAGCTCCTTAGTAGAAAGACTAAGAACATTTAATGTTATGTAAATATCACTGTAGGTCCAACAAATCTGTCAGAGCCCTAGCAACCCCAAGCTCGGAGTGTGCCACTCAGACACCACATGGGGAAGATTTCATCCCTGTCAGGGTGCATTCTCCAACCCTACTACTTGCAAAAACAGAAACACACCCTGTTTCAACAATTAAAGAAGGCATAAAGCTTTCTATCTGAACTTGAAGGAAGTTGCATTTCACAAGCCCTATTCTTTGATTAAAATAAGCATTTGTGATCAGCATTAGTGTTTACTACCCTATGATCAAAAACAAATAACCCACTTTGTTTGTTTCTTACTGCAAATGAATTAAATTAGAAGCCATTAGGAGGACTTGCTGTTTATATCCTTGTTTCGGCAGTGGTAGTATTTGAAGTTTCCTGCGGTAAGTTCATTACTCGTATTTTGTCCAGAATTAGTGAAGCGTGCTGAAAATTGCTAATGACAGATGTTTCTCCACTCTGTCACACTTCTTGTATCATTTGATTTGGAAAGCAACATACGGTGTTCTGCTCTATCAGTATGTCACAGACTGTCTGTAAACAGCTGGTCATAACTCAGTTCAGTGAAAACCATTACTTTCCAATGAAGGGCTGGACACCCTCCAAATTGCATTTTGGCATGGCCTCGGCTGCATAATGCACAAAGTTCCTCTGTTCAGAGGTTACCTAAGGAAGAGTTCTTACTTTCCCCGTTTGTTTTTATGTTTCAGAAAATCAAAGTGTTTTCTCAGCAATAGACAGAAATCAAGAGAATATGAAAAAATATATAATGATTATATGAAGCACTCAAAAAAAATCTGTGAATGGTACATTGCAAAAGACAACAAAAGTGTATCTTATCAGTTCTAGGTATGTCTCCAATTAAAGGGAGCACAAATATCAGGGTCAAGGTCCACAAGATGACATATTTAAAAGTCCTCTATAGAACAGTCGGTGGTATTTGAACACAACCATGTGGCTCTTTCATGATATCTAGTCACAATGAGAAGTACTAAAATCATCCCTCTGTCATTTATACAGTGGTGAAATTCAGAGAAATTGTTCCTGCTTTTTTTTTCCTGAAACTCATCAAGATGAAACCAAATATAAAAATCATGTAAGTACAGGGCCACACATCCTACTTTTTAACATGATATTCTAAAACATCTAATGCCAACTTATCTGAATAGTCAGTATATATTGAACACCAAGATCATTAGCAACACCTTTCAGAAAGTATGGAATTTTGTCTCCCCATGGAAATAAAATCTCTCATTGAAAGCCTCTGGATAGAGCAGAAAGATAAATAGAGATATTGAATACCTTTAAAGCCACTTGGCACTTCCAGATTCATGGAGGCTTCCTGATATACATGAAGGATCTAAACAAAATGAATTGAGTCCATTTGAGGGACTGAATGATAAAGGAACATGCGCATCTCAGCTCAGCACTCATTCAATCATATATCCATCAACAAAAATCAAGTACTTACACATGCCAGATAATTGCTGGAGATACTCTTAGGGGACTCTTCTCTATGCATGAGGGCAAAGGCTAATCCACACTGAACTCTAAAAGTATGCTTTTTCCACCTGGGATACCACACTTCCTTGTAGATCAGGCTTCCATATCACCTCCCTGAAGCCTTCTCTGACTCCCCCAGGCAAAAGGGGCCACATGTGGATCTTCTCCACACATTTCTGGTAACTCTACTATAGTTTTACACATAAGGTAAAACTGGAGCCCATGAGAGAAAGCAATTCATCCTGTGAGAGAGTCAGGGGACACCTCAGATTAGGTGACATTTGTCTGGGTCTTGCAGAATGACTCACATGTGCAAAATAAACATTTTAGAACATCCCTATTAAGAGATACACAAACACACACACACACACACACACACACACACACACACACACACACGAGAGAGGTGTCCTTAACTAGTAAAAAACAAAAAGCAACACTTTTTGAAGATCAATTGCCACGAGGGTAGAAGACAAATTCATGAGAAAATTCCAAGAAATAAAAAGTATATGCACCGTGATGAATCTCTTTAAAACAAGATATTTTACCTGGATTTATTTTTCTCTCTTCTAGGCCAGGGGTTTATTAGGTATCTTTTTCTCTCATGGATAAAATCAATATATCCTGTCCATGAAAGGATGAAGGATTCAACAATTGGCCAATCTTAAGTGAAAACACATGTACTTGAAGAGTCATATCACTTAAAAAATAAAAATGTAAAAAAAAAAGTCATATCACTAATTAGACCACTGAATACAATTGGTTTCCCAAAGCATTAGTATTGCAAAGTAA